ACACACACAAACAAACACGTACCATGATGTTACTTGTTTTACGCACCTGAGCAATCACACATCCAGAGAAAATGATTCTGCAGGACCCCTGCTGGCTTCACAGTAAGTGACTCCGACGATGTGATAAAAAGCAAAAACCATGAAAGTTCATTGAGAAAATGAATGCGGCCCCCAGTTGTTTCACAGCTCTTTTCTAGCCTGAGTTGAGAGAGTGAACGTGTGCTGACGGAGTTATTTTGACCTTAAAAACTGACTTCAATTTATTATGTTCGTCAGTGTTCAGAATTAGTTTCATTATTGTGGATCAGAGTCAATCTGAAAAACAACTGACATTACTCTCAGATAAGCTTCAAAGCCCATCTCATACTGACTCCCGACAGAATCCTCTGTGTTACTGGTTAGCCTTTAAGCATAAGCTTTGGCTGTTGTTCACAATATCCTACGTGCTGTCTGCATCAACTGCTTCAAGGAGAGCTGCAAACCAGTATGTAAATACTGAACAGATGAAAAAAAAATAATACTCATAATTTCCCCCTGTCCACCTAAACCTATATAACACATATGTATGTATCCCATAAATAAGAATCAATAATCAGACAAAGAATAAAAAATCTTTTAAAAATCCTCAAACTGAGATTTTTGACCACGGTGACAGAAATGGCATCCTAAACAGCAGAGAGTGCTATATATTTATCTGACAGAACACTCCCAGCTCATGATCCACTTAATTTGCAACGTTCAACTGCTTTATGCGGTCATTCTGTCAAACAGTGGTATTTCTGCAACAATTTAGGAGATGAAGGAGAATAAAAGAACAAATTACAGCCACTAAGTGGACGGAGGAGATACCCTGTAAGCACTGTCACGAAGGTGAAGAATTTAGGTGTCTGGTTAAAGTTTGTGGTTTTGAGTTGTCTGTTAGTGTAAAATGGGAGCCTACAGCACAATGTAATACATTCAGAAAATATTTGCAAAACACTTATAGCCTAACCCTAAACTGTGTTGTTGCAGGGCTATACTTTAAAATGTAGTCATTGATTGGAATCTTTTTACATTGATATACTTTTCATTTTCCAGGAGATGTTGGAAAATGGAAATTGGAATTCAAAGAAGAGAAAAAAATCTCTAAGGAGACCTGATGCAACCAAAATTCCATTTGCAGACAAAATGAAAAATATCCGGTGTTTTCTCACAAATGTCCAAAAATTGATTTAGACGGTTTATATTTCCTTTTTGCTTTCCCTGACATGTTCTCCACAACCACGAGAAGAACAAGAGGTCCCTATCAGAACGTGTGTGTTACTAACTGATGCACTGTGCAAAAACAACATTAACACAGCAAGGGCAACAGCAAGGTCACGGGTTTGCTCTGCTCTGATTGGCTGCATTCACCCACTGTGCTCTATATTTAAATCCATAGATGGTAACTGTACCAGTGGGGCTGCATTCAAATTGATCTATTCTAAAATCCCGTTTTCATTTCTGTCTGTGGCATAAATATTTTCTGCTGCAGCAGACCAGAGGCTGAAAAACAGCCATCAAGGGGCCAAGAAATATGAAGAAATCTGGAGAGTACTTTGAGAGAGATGATGAGGGAAAGTAATGTTTTTCTTATAAAGTTTTTATCTTATTCAATCACAGTGGGAAAATAACTGGGGAAATAGCCTGCACTCATATACCAAGTCCACCTAATGTCATTTAAGAAATCTATTATTCAGTCACACTTTCCAAAAGTAGTGAGGTAACTCAGTTCTAAGGGAAGCATCTAAGCTCTTACTGAGCCCTATACGTTGTCCTGCTTCCTGAATTATTCATGGCGCAGATAAAATATGGGCCTAAACACTCAGCAGTTGAAAAGCTAGTGGAAGAGGCAAAAAGAGACTCAGATGGTGACAAAAACTAAATAAAAAAAAGGTTGTCAATTGACAGGAAAAAGTCATTTGATGAGAACTGATGAGGTAACTTTATGAGATAAATAGAGAACAATTAAAGCATTTAGACACACATCCACACCAGCACTGCCTGTCCTCTGCTGGATTTAGTTTCTCTCCTTCATGTCACAATCAAAGCCGTCCAAAGCAGAACATATGGGACGAACACAAGCTCACAAGAAATGCTTTCATCAAGACTTCACCCTTTTTCTCCACCTCCACATAGCTGCCAGCAGCCCTTCCCTCCTCAGTCACTCCCCACGCCTGCTGTGCCTTACATGGTTAGTGTCACTGTCATAGTCCTTCTTTGCCTTCCATAGGTATCTATTTAGCTTTTTAAAGAAATCACTTTTTTGATCAATTGTTGCTGAGACAGAAGTGCATGATCCAGAATATGGATTATATACTGTAACAGAGACTGATCAGATTTATTTGTTTCTGTCAGGTTAGATTGGCAACTCTGATGACGCATTACGTCCCATCTCCTTAACCTCTGATTTACTTGATTTTACTAGCTCATTGGTTTATGAGCTATTAAAATCTTTCAATCACTTTGTTCTTAACAAATAAAGAAAAGTAGAGCAACATAGTTATGCCACCATATGTCAGAATGAAGAAATGTCAAAGATGTTAGAAAAAGAAAGCCAGCATATTCACATTTCAGAGGCTGGAGCCTGCCATTTATAGTCATTGTACAATGTCATTGTAGTTGCTCACGATCAGTTAAAGGCAACAAAAAAAGAGTATACCTTAAAAAGCTTTATTAATTATGCTAAATCCGCCTGTTTATTAACTCTTAGGATTAAAAAAATTAAGATTTATCATTAAAATAAACTGAACATGCAAAGTTGATGTCTCGACAACAGGTGGACTCTGGCATTCGGTGAGTTTACGAATTTAAGAATGTGAAATCTATTTGGAGTAATAATCGCGCGCCCTCGTAGGCTTGCTGGCACGCAGAACCAAACAGGGTGCGAACGCACACCATCCAAAACCAGCAGCCGCGCTGTGATGTGCGCGCTGAGATGTTTCCATCGGGCTGCAGAGGACTCCCTCGGGAGCGTGGGAGAAGTACACAGCCTCCGAGCCCGTTACTGTGTCAAGCACCTGCTCCCACACGCAGCCCAAGCTTCCCAATAAAAACCTAGATTCCTAAACAAAATCGATATTTCGTGCAGCAGTTTGTCCCAAACAGCACGCAGAGTGTTCTGTATGTGATATGGCACAGAAAGGCTGCAAAGAACCACACGTGGATCGAATGGGCATATATATTTTCTATATATTAGCTATTCATTTAAAATTGTGAATCAAGTTAATTTATGTTTAATAACCACATAACCAACAGCTCCTTATCTGAATTTGTTGCGTAAAAGTTCATCCACACCATTGAAAAAAGTTTAGATGACGGTTTATCTTATCAAATGAATATGAATTGTGTTTTCCTACTAAAAGGACTATATGTTTTATAGATTAAATCTAAAACAATTAAACTTACTGAATGAAAAAAAACTTACAAGATTCTGTGAGTGCCAAATGCTCACCAACTGGCTGCGTATCTTAGACCAAAAAGGCGCCTGCATAATAAACACCTGATTACACACAATAATCACGTTCTATCATTGCTCAAAACGGGACTCTTACCGTTTGTCTCTGCCTGGTCCGCTCATCCATCCATATCCGCAACCTGTAGACTGTGAGTTGATCAGATGCTGAATTTCCCCTCGTCCTGTAGTAGGGAGCAGCCGAGCACATGCTCAGCAGCAGCAGCTCCAGCAGGGACCACTGACAGGATGCTGCTCAGAGGGACGGACAAACGGCTCAGATTCAAACCGATCCACAGAGGACTCTGCTGTCAGGATGATTTTAATTAACTGGTTGAAGGAGGAGGGGCGCAAATCAACTACCGCTGCCACCCAAAATAAATAATGTTACAAACAACAGACTCATTCATAATGTATTGGATCAAAGCAAAGACCGACTTTTTATGTGCTTGAATTTAATTTCAATGCTACAACAGGTAGCTATGGATAAGTGCCCTTCAGTGGTTCCACACATGAGCCACAACCAATGAGAATTGGAGAGCCAGAGGCTGAGTGTTGGCGTGCATATGGAAACAGAATGTGACTTGTGATTGTCAACTACAGTTAAAAGTTTCACGATTAAATTTAACTCATGCAGTACATGACGGAAAGAAATCCGAGTCCTTTACATTAACAGAGCAACTGATGTGTGTAGTTTCTGTAAACGGGTTTTAAAAAATAGAAAGATATTTACCCCATCTACAACTTGCAGATAAAGGTAAAAATCCCCCTGTGGTTAGGAAAATGGAGCACATTCACAACAGACCAACAGCATCTTTACCTCTGACATTTACTCTCAAAATGCATCAGATGGCTAATTTGCTTCAAACTCTGTCCCACCTTCAACTACATTCCTTGAATCAGTGGCAAAAGTGGTACTTCTGACACCAGCTGTAACCACCACCTCTCTCTCAGTATAATTTGCTTCCGTCCCCTTACTCCCAGCAGCTGCTAGCTCTTCCCCATTCCCTCGTTTTCCCCTTTGCTTTTCAAAGTCAGAGGCAGGCTGCAGCTGACAGGACAGTGCAAACCAGGGGACAATTAGGGAAGCGTGGGAGAGACAGCTGGACCTGTTGCCAATTACATGGAGTATGATCCGCACATGAAGCCAGTTTAATGGGCTCACTCTGTTCAGCTGAACCCCCTTGAAATTTTACAGTTCTGACCTTTGAGCATCAGGAACAGAGGAAATAAAATGTGTTTCTTTTATTTATTATGTTTCCATAGGAAAATATTGGACAGTAGTAAGTAAAAGTGCATCCCGAACAATAACTTGTGCTGGCTTCTGCATCCATATGGCAAACAAATGTAACATGGTAACAAAACAAAAAAAATGACAGTGAGAAGATACGGCTGCTGGCAATATGACATTAAACTATGCTCAAAACTGACAAGCACAAACTATCTGACGGTTTCATCTGTGACATTTACACTGTGACCTAAATCTAGGAGAAGAAAGCATGTCCACTCCACTGTTATTACACCATCATCAATATGTTATCTTTCCAAGCAGCATGCTCTGCAGCTGCCTGATCCGGCTCTCCTGTGGCAGTGCCAGGTTTTTCTCTGCTTGCTCCTCTTCCTCCAGCAGCTGTTCAATGTAGCAGGATGATCCCAGCAGGATGTGGCCTGTGGCCTGCATGGAGAAGATGGTCCATCGTAGAGCTTCCCTGTGGGTGCAATGGAAAGAGTGGATGTCAAAAGGTAGTGACTATGCGTGTTACATTAGTGAACCATGTAACATTTAGTGGACCGGTTATATAGAAAATTCCATAAAAAAATACTCTATCCATGGGAAAAGGTAAACTATAGCAGTTTTTATCACCATCATATGATGCCATGTGAAGTTATTCCTGTTGGCAAAAATGACCCCTTAACTCCTGGTGAAGACACTTCTCTTTGAACATTATAATGTAGAGTATGGGAAGTTTATTCATCTGTTCACATCTAATTTAATCATTAAGACTAATGACAAATGTGACAGGCCAAACCAGGTGCTGAATTGTTATTTTCAAAAACTCATGAAGACCTCAAACCTTTTGCACAGCAGTGTGATTCATATTTAATAAGTCTGTGAACCATAATCCCTTTTCTGAGGCTTTATATCAAAGCTGATCTCAGCAATGATGACATAACACCTCATGAAATTAATCTCAGTGAAATTTAACCTTTGTTCTACTCGGAGTAGACTATTTACGAGTAAAGCAAAATGAATGGGTGTTCCCATTTTTGGGGTGGTATACAGCCTCAACGTATCAATAAAAAGCAGATGACATGCAACTGGTCAAATATGGACTAGGTAAATTGTGAATTAAAATGCAATTAGTACAGTATATATTTTTCATAAGACAAACTGAGAAAAAAAGTATTAGGGACATAATGGCTTTTTACAAAACCCTTCACTCACTTCAACATCTTTTTGGCAGCGTAACATCGCAGGTCATAGGACACGGAATAAGCACCATAGAGGGTCGCTTTCACATTCAGGCACCCGATGAAATCTTTGGGGTTGTTTTTGTAAAGGTCCAAAGTCAGCTTGGCCACATCTGTGCGGTGCTGCTGCCGATCTATGGACTGATATCTGGAAGGACTATTCTGTAAGATGACAGGAGGAGAGACAGAAGGGAGGTCATGCCGGCACAGATGCATTTTGTTGGCGTGATTGCAGTCAAATGACAAAAATGGCGGTACACGCTTCTACCGGCACACCCTCAGACTACACAATGAGGTGAGGGAAGAGAGGGAAATGACAATGAGAGAAAGTGTACAAAAGGCCACCATAGTCAACATCTGAGGATGGGGGTAATGCAAATTGCTGCATGCGCCACTTTCTGGGGAAATTGATTGCTTTTGTGTGAATACCATTCAAATCTGTTGGCATTCCTGATTCTGATTAATATTCAACACCTACTTTTCATTTTTCTGGAAAAAAATTGAAGAAAGAAATAAACCTCTGATGTTGACACAGCATTACCCCTTTGGTACAATACCTGCTATTTTGTATTGCTGCCTAATTCAGATCAAAGAATACAATCTGTCACTGAATGGACAATTTTCCATTTTAAAGGCCACATATTTATTTATAGTCCCGCACTACAGAAACAGGCATTTGTCCATGTATAAGAATCCCAGCCATAACTAATAGAAACAATGAGCTTAGCTCTGTGCAATGCGGTTTAGAGGCAGATCAAAAGTGCCATCTGGTGGTCATCATTAAGAGGCTTACTGGATGTGGGGTCCACTTCTCTCCCTTCTCCAGCGCCATTAGAACAGCATTCTCTGGTAGTGTTTGGAAGAACTCCTCTGTGTCCACCCCTGTGCCATCCTCATCCAGAACTAAAGCACTGACACACTGTAAACTCAGTGAGTCGCTGACCTGAGAAAAGGGACAACAACAGATGAATAAAATAAATACCAGTCTGAGCACTACTCTAAAGAAAATGTGCCAAAGATCACAAGGCAAGAGGCAAATTACTCAACAGTTAGCACTGTCACAGAGTGAGACGTGACATTTGTGTCAGCTTTCACAAGCACGAGCCTGGGACATGAGCCAGGCATCTCAGTGGGTTCTGAGCCATTTACACACCAGTTTGTCTGTAGCACCCACAGGCTTCAGCTTGCATTTAGCTCATTTAGTTCTACTGTTATCTCCCTTCCTTCTCACCTTGTTCATCAGGTCTACTAGTGCTTCTGCCATAATGCCTTTCTTCACACTGCGATCTGCAATGGTGACTCTAAAGGGCTTTGGCCGAGGAACTCGTCCTGTCAGGATTTGCTGGGTCATGGAAGCACTGGCTGAGACACTGGATGTTACAACCCTGGAAATAATCATTTTTAGGAGAATTAAGGGACAACAAACAAGGTTAGAGTGTATGTGGTAAGTGGCAACATTATCCACCTCATGAAGCATTGCTCTTACTTTGAGAGGGTGGATGGATTCAGAAGGCTGAGGGACTTCATAGCATAATCCATCTGGGAACACATCAACCTGTAAATGAAAAACCATTATGTGACCAAACTTTAAATTCAGGAAACATCTTCCCTAAAGCAAAAGGGTAACATGACATTTTGAGTGAACAGTGACTCATTATTTTAACCTGCAATGTCATCCCCATGAAAAGAAAAAAAACTGTGACCTTTACATACAATGCAATAATAAAACTTCCCAATAAAAGGTTCTCTCTCAATAATGTCCCAACAAAGAGAAAAAAAAATCTTACAGTTTTGGATGTGACAGTCCTGTAGCTGTCTTGCCTATTTCCAACTAATCTTTTTCACGGTCGCTTTTCTTCCTTAAATGCTGGTCCTCTCACTGTTAAGACTAAACATAAAACCCTCAACAGCAATACATGCAAGCTCTTTCTTTTCACCAGTTGGTCATTGAACTTTGAGCCAATGACTGGTGAGCTAGTTGCAAGTTGTCACATTTATTGAGAAACTCCATGAACACTCCCACTGACCCTGGATCACAGTGTGACCTAATCACAACTATCTTAATCCTAAAAAAACACAAACATTTGCATTACAGAGCATTGAGAACATGAGGTCTATCTAAGAATTTGGCATACAAAAAATAACTAATGTCTGTTTTTTAAATGGACAAAAATAAATGTATATAAATAAAATGGAATTTGTCTTAAATGAGGTGCTGTTTTGATAAGAGCATTTGTTTAACAGATATGATCTAATATATCTAGTATAATTTAAAGGGAATCTGATGTGATCCAGATACTGAACCTTCGATTGAAACAAAAATGATCAACAATCTTTATTAATTCCTTTAGCCCCTTATGAATTTGCATCATGAACTTGACATTATATTAAACCCACCATGGTGATACAGGAACCAATTACATCAGGGGTAAAATGAAATGCTGCAACAGGATTACCGGGGTGAGACAGATCTTAACAGTTCCTGTCATCAGGTCATGGTTCAATGTACGGTACACGATATCTTACAGTAAATGTGCTTACGCAGGCAAGGAGTGCCAAGACGCCCCAGTTTGATCACTTCGTGTTGTCACAGATCACCTGTTTGACACGACAAATCATAAGAACTAAAGAGCCGAGATTAAAATGTATTTTTTATTTATTAATTTAAGGCTAGGTTCGGTTGCTTATTTCGGTTGTTTAAGCGTTAGCGACACATTTGACTGAAAATGGGCAGCACAATTAGACCAAAATTTGCCCGGAAAATAATTTCATTTAAAAAGTTTCAATATTCAAAGAGTTCGGTTCTATTCTAAAACAGAAATGAGCAGAAGTGATTAATTAGACAATAAAATAACTAATTCAGACTTACCCTCCCTGCGTGCTCTACCTGTGATTGTTTGAGCACTGGCAGCGATACTGATTGACATCACCTGGATCTGACTAATTAAGACGCCATTTTGACGGTTTAGGGTGTGTTACTTGTTTTTATTTCGTTCGCAATTTTTAATAATAATTCCATGCAACCCAGTCAGGTGTAAAAGTTAACTATGTTTGTTAAATTAAGGTTGAAGGGTGAAAATCAGTTGTATACCCAGATGAAATGTTACCTTAAATATATTAGAGGTACTTCCACAATAGTTCTCAGTTTCTTTCTGCTCATAGAAAAGTGTTCATTTCCTGCTGTCCGATCTGTGAAACAGCTGTGAAATTGAAGAGGCTAATTAAAGGCCGGTAACGTGTAAGGTATTATATAATACTGGAACAGCCTCCAGTTAAGTATTTAGTGTGATAACCTCCTGAAGAAAATTGGTGTAATTAGATTTATTCATATGAATTTGCATTTGTTGCAGTTAAATTAGAGGACATTTCACTGGAAATTGACCTTAAACTGCAAAGTTTTGTAGCTTTGGGGTCTCACTATAGTTTAAACACAAAACAACAACATAGAAAAAGCAGATTATTTGCTTTATTGTTTCTTCATGACTCTTACACTCCAACAGAATCCTCAGGGAATGCTTTCAAGCATACTGGGGGAAAAAAGGACTGATACTTTGCCTGTTAAGACAGCTCAATGACCATTGGTCTTTTGGCTAACAGTGTACATGAAATATTTGACCTTAAATTAATCCACTATTATCTCTTTGTTTGTGAGTTGTAATGTCGGCTATAAATGCTGTCTCAGCTCAGTTGCATTTGCACTCACGTATCACCGCTATAGCCTGAAACGACAGATGAAATAATTCAATTTCACAACCAGGGAAAAACAGAATGAACTCAAATGTAAATCAGATGAACAGTTTATTTCTCTCTGTTGCTTCACATTTGCTGCACATTTGCTGAAGAGCACGGATGAGTCATCCAACAGATCTTAGTCTAATCTAGAACAAGCTGTGTTTGCCAAATGTATCAAGTAGCACTCAACAAAGGTTTATAGAAAGGCTCTGTCTTCTCCCAGATGTCAATATCCTGCCTGTGTCTTTGTCCTGTTATCATACATCAGATGCTGCTGTGGATGATGCAGGCTCATTTGGCCAAGACCCATTCAAATGTGCTTTATTGGCTGCTGATGCCTGTAATTATTACTAAGAACGGTTGATATCAGGGCAGAAATCAATAAGACTTGAGGAAGAAATGTGATTATCATATTGGATTTAATTGAACAACTTTTTTTCCTTTTAAATTGAAGATCACACATACAAACACACGAGACATATTTTCAAACCCGTTTTTGATCCAGTGGTGAGTAATCTTTCAAATGAAAATCCAGCTTCATCTAGTTTTGTTTACAGTGCCCTGTGTATGTGGCAGATCTTTGCATCAGTAGGTCTAACTATTTTTCCCTCAAGAGTTATTCTATTGAGTGTTTTGCGTATAGAATTCAGTTGTCTTGCAGATGTTTCTCTTTTAACACGTAAAAGTAAAGCGGATCTAAGCTCTAATGGACAGACACTAATTGCAAAGAATGGTTTCACCTGAACTAAAGTAGTTTTTGACAGATTTTTGCCAGTGTATTAACTTTGCTGCGAGGTGAGATTTTCCCCGTAATTCTTTCATTTCCTCCTGCCTATACGTGCCATCAGCTCTGCATTGGCTGCCGCCTTGGTCCTCATGTCCTGGTTCTTGGCGAGGTCTATGAGGACACTAAGGATGCTGGTGGGGACGTCGAGGGACAGGGCGAAGCGGGACCCCTGCTGGGCTCTCTTTGGCATCTGGGAAGCAGCGCGCAGGGCTCCTGCTTGCCGAAGCACCAGGTGATGCTCTGACCGGAGCAATGAGTTCAACACACCGCTGCGATTTAAGATGTTGACGGCCAGCACATCCTTCTGTGTGTCTTCATCGAGTTGGTTAAAGGATGGGGGGCTTCTCTGGCTCTGAACGCACCATGGAAACAGCAGAGCCAGGCAGAAACACATACGCACACTTCTCATGGTCAGGTCTGTCTGCAAGGGGGACAATCCCCACAAGGCATCTGTCAGTCATGAATTACACCAGGAATAAAATTGTTTTCATATAATTGCTCCAAAAAACATATCACACCATTTCTCAATGCCATCCAGATTTAAAATTAGTATTTCAATATTCATGAGTTTTGCACTTACACACTTTTGAAAGCATGAAATGATTAGTCTAATTTAGTATTTCATCATGCAGTATTTACTGATTAATACTCACTCAGTGTCACCACTGCAAAAACTTGACAAAAAGGCACTTCTGTCCTCCAGTGGCAGTAGATCACCTCTGACTGGGGTGCGACTCTATATCTTCCGTCTATCCGCTTCTGCCTGGGTTGCTGGAGAGATGACTTGTGTGGTACACGGTCCGAGGTTCCAATGAACTTAGCTGTTGCTGCTCATCCACTGTTCTGTTGTGAGCCACTTGGATCTTCACTGAGACAGAGAAGCTGCCCCTGCCCCTTTCTTTTCATCTCTTACATCTTAGCCCCCCCCCCCCCAACCCCCTCCTTTAATTTGACTTCCTCTGAAGTCATCACTGTTTTTCCCTTTCTAATAATAGCTAATCATAATACTTTGCCTATTAAATTGAATATTTGCTTCCGTTTAGAATTAAAACGCAACCAGGAACCAGTTTTGCATCAACAAACTGTGCAATTTTAAAAACACATGGCATGTTAATTCCAAAGGGGCTATTTGGATCTTTTTATTTAATTTATTAACGTTAATCTTTCGTCTGATGTAATTCGAATATGCACAGATATTTTCAAGACCACTGAAGTAGTGGTTAAGGCTTCAGTTGACACTTTAAGTTGTCAACAATAGGCATAGGGTTGCTGTCTGGCAATGGCTCAAATAACCAGAATTATTTCATAACCCCAAAAAAACAATAACTATGAAAAATGTAGGGAAACAAAGAAAACAGCATGTTCAAGTAAAAAAGCAAAAATGTAGTTGTCATCTACCCATTAATACAATATTTTTATTCTCCATGTGGATGTGAACGTGACTTCAACTACACGGTCAGCAGCTATCAGTGGTAATGGCATCACCATCAAAACACATTGATGTATCTTAATAAATAAGCAGAATGAAGGAAAAGAAACCTCAGTTAGGAGGACCTAAAATTTAAAAATGAATATTAGATATATTTTGTCAAAAGCACTCTATTCTTTAAATGTGAATTGTGACATAGGACAGTATGTGGAAGACTTGTTTTAATAACATTATAACGTTCAAGATGCTAAGCAATGTTATTTTGGCAAGTTGTTTGAGTAAATAAGTCTACCCATTATTTGGAGAGGTGCAGACGGCTCTTAGGAGAAATGACAGGAAGCCCAGGAGGATTGGGGGAAAAAAACTGCCTGGCTTCCTGTACCATATCCAGTCCAACCCATCAAGTGACTTATACTGATCTAACTAATGATAAGAATATTACAAGTAAAGCATGACAGTAGTGGGTCTACCCTTGAGGGCCCTCATTTTACGTCTCAGCGAACCAACAATTACCAATTGAGGATCACGTAAATGCCACGTTACAGCAAACAAATGTTCACCGGTTTCATTAACGATATGGACACAATGACGCAGAACAACTTGATAATCCAGGACTCCATGATTTAAGATGAAACATGTCATAGCAGGTCCTATTTATGCATGGAAAAAGATTTTGACACAGGCTCTATATATAAAGAATTGAAGTCAGTGTGCTTGATGTCATCTAGGGGGAAATGCAGAAGTCTCTTGCCTGATTAATCACACTGTTTGGGTTAAAGAGAAGAAGCAATAGCAGTAGTACACAGATCACTAGCTAACAGTGACAAAGCCTGACTTACTCCCTTTTCCAATACATTCTTCTCATTTTTATAGTTCAGTGCTCGTCATGCCAGTAAAAATATTTCTGCTGGGCCACCTTAAAGACCAAAGTGAAAAAACAACAACATAGAAAAGCAGCTATTGCTATAGGCTGCAACAACCTAAACATCAAGTATTCTCTATAGAGTTTTTAGAACCCAATCATATCAGTTTTCCAGCTGTCCTGAAAATTTGCAAATGACAATTTCAGTGTGACTATAAAACAGACAGGTCACTCATTTTTTTATCATTTTGTTTTTATTGGAATGACAGCTTCTTTTATGTACAATAGTGGACTGAAACAAATGTTACGGAAATTATAAATATACTTTTGCTCCATATTGGTTTTATTTAATATTTGCTCATTTTTGACATGTGGATCGTCATTTTGTATTTAAATCCCCCCTCATCTCAATTCTTTTTACAAGACAGTATCAGATAATGACTACCCGTGGAGAACAATCAATAAGTAACGAGTGTTATTTCAACAAGCCGAGTGGCTGACCGCCCCCTCATGGCCAATTTGGAGTAATGACAGAGAGCGATAAAACCATGAATTGGGCAGAAAAAGAGGATGAACAGCCACCTGAGTCGTCACATATTGATTTGCGTAGTCCTTAGACATTTGCTGTTGCAGTGATGACGAACGGCAGCACAGTGAGGTCAAGAGGGAGGATGATGAGGAGCAAAACCACAACTTATCTTAAAATCGGAGCCAGTACATAGCACTGCGCATTCTGTTGTAGTCAGGTAACTGCTCAACGGGGCCTGATGGAAACAAGTACAAAAGGACAGATTAGAAATATTACAACAGTATTGGCTCAGAGACTGCTGCAAAGACTTAAAATCCCACAGGACTCACCAACAGCTGCCACAGCAGGACACTTATCATAGATATATTTGGAGCAGATGTCACGCACCATCCTAGGGGTCACAGCCTGGAAAGAGAGTATTCAAACATTTTTAATATCAAGACTTAGCAAAAGGATTGCATCATGATTTAAAAGCAGTAGGCAACACTAGGTTTTTCAGTATCAACTTACATCAATCCGAGCATTCCATTCTGCAAGAGGAATACGCCGCCCGTAGTTCAAGACGTGTCTCCCAATGTCATCACAAATTGGTGTTGTTCCTGTGACACACATGTTGTGGACTTCATTGGTGTTATGGATGTGTATATCTATATATACATGTCTATATATTTTTTACATTTTCTTATTTTTTCCCCCATACCTAAACACACACAAATATATGTGCATGTGTGTGTTTGGTTAGACACATGGACACCTAACATACCGTTGAGCTGACCAACCAGGCTGGCCTTCAGAGCATTTCGGCCTCTGACCACATCGCTCTCTGTGACTGTAGTGCACAGATTCATCCTGCAAAGAGAGAGGGGGACAGAGGAAAAAAGCCTTAACATGTGCATTCATCATATAATTCACTGTATAATAATTCAATGAGGCGAGTCTCTATCATGCAGCCATCACTGACCAGGCATTCTGAGACCAGTGCATCATGTCATCGATGTGATGCTTGTCGCTCACAAAGTATATGCCCAGTAGGCCAGTGTCGCTGTAGGATGAGTGGAAGGCCTGGAAACTGTGACAGAGGTTGTCCTCCACTGCCAGACGGGCCAGACGACTGCTCAGGTGCTGCATGAGAGGACAGAACAGACTTCTTGTTCTACTGCTCCATAATTAGCTGCAACTACCACACACCAACCTAGACTCTGGTTGTAGGTCAAAACAGCGTATCATGTTTGCCATTATCAGGATTTTGAAAAATCTACCAAATTGGATTAAAAAAAAAATCCAGAATTTACAGCTAATTACTCTTGAGAACACTAGTAGACTATACAGCTTTTCAGGTTATGTTCCTCTCTACAGGTCCAGAGGCAGAGAGAGGATCCTCTGACTCTTTCTCTGTTTGTAGAGAGAAATATGCTCTACCCCTCCATAATGGCCACTTAAGACATAAACAATCCCAAGTGGGCAAAGCTTTAAGGGGAACTAACATATAGATTGCAACTGAGCTATCCCTCTTCAAGTTAATCAAATCGTCATCAGCAGAACCCGTTCCTCTACCTTTCCACCGCCATAGGTAAGATCATAGCTGCCGATGATGGCGTTCCCAACCATCAGAGGCACAATGTCAGGGCTCGCTGCACTAGCACCCTCCACAGCGATGGCAATGTGTGCCAGAGGCAAACCATCGTCACGCATGCGGATCTGTGGAAGGGCAGAAAAGCAGAAGATCCTCTGTTAACCACAACTGTAACCATAAAGTCAAATTTAATACTAAATTAAAGTGAGTAACAGGCCAGAAAGCCACAAAATGCATAAATAGTCGGCCTTTAAAGAGACATTTCATCATCATACTGCAAGTCATTTTAGACTTGATTTAATAAAAATCCACACACTCCAATATATTCAATTAAAGCACTTTTGTATAAGATTATGAATTAAAAAGAATAAAAAACTTTTAGATGATACTTAAGTAGTTTAAAAAAAGGACAATGACAACATCTCACCTCACTACCAGTAAACCGGCAGGGTGACAACACAGGGACGGCATCTCCCTCATACTCAAAAGACACTCCGCTAAAGTGAGTCTTGGCCAAACCAACAAGCTCCTCATGATTCACGCCTGTCAATGAAGCACATCAGACAAACGCTTAAATCCACAGGCAGCCAGAGCTGCTTATATAAATACAAGTGAATAAAAAGAAGACCAACCTCCAGCAGCAGCCAGCACCATGCGAGGGGCCTTGTAGTGGCTGTTGATGTAATCGACTAAGTCCTGGCGAGTCAGACTCCTGTGAACATTGAAAACAAAAGTCAGCATTAATTCTCTTTAAACCAAAGTTGGGAAGGTATTGTGTGACCAGTACTGCTCCCATTGCAGTCACATTTCAGATGACACAAATGTTGACTGTGTGAGGATGACTTGTGTGTGGTAGGGCTTGAAGTTCCACTCACTTGGCACTGCTGGAGGGCCCCAGAACACTTTGCCCCAGGGGGGTGCCCTGGTAGGCTGTGGCATGGAGCAGGTCCAGGCACACGTCCTGCAGGTTGCCTTCAACTTCGTCCAGTTCACGCAGCACCACACTCCTCTGCTGCTCAATCTCTGCCTCGCTCAGGGAGCAGCTCTGCACAACCTCTGACAGGATCTCCACCGCTGGAAATAGGACAAACAAACAGTGGTCGTACTAAGAAATGAGGTGGGCTCACTACGAATGCAGAGTATGGCTCGTTTTTTAAAGCCTTATGTTTGTAGACACAAATGACTCACTAACAAGAGGGATACATTTTTTTTTTTTTATCTTCTAATTATCAATTTTTAAAAACAAAAAAACTCTGAATAGTGTCCCACCTTTAGGTAGATCCTTTGCAAGGGTCTTCATGTAGTATGCAGTATGCTCCCGTGAAGTGTAAGCACTCAGATGGGCTCCCATAGACTCCACCTGCTGCTCCAGAGCCGTTTGAGGATGCTTCTTGGTTCCCTGCATGTAAAAGAAAAGGGGTGCACTGAAGCAGTTGTGAAACAATAATGTTTGAACAATCAGAAATAACCCCAATTTAAACAGATGTGGGACAGGGAAAAAAAAAAAACTACCTTGAAAGCCATGTGCTCCAAGAAAAAGCCTGCTCCATTGTTTTTCTCACTCTCATAACGACTACCAGCACTGATCCAGAGTCCAACCTGTGAAGGCAATATTGTACAACTTTAATAACCCTTGTTGAATGCATATAAAAACAGACCAAAAAAAGCTGTTCTGACCGTGCAAGTAGCATGTCCGGTATCTTCTGATGCCACCCTTAAACCATTGTCCAGGGGAGTGAGATGAGTCTCTGGAGCTCCCAACAGACTCTGAGCATAGCTGACTGAGGCTTGTCCACGCCTCAAAGACAGCAGGATGGGCTAAAGGGATGCAGAATATAAACCTTTAATTCATTATTCATCTTATTAAAAAGAAACCACTGACATGAGCATGTCACCAAACACAATAAATACACCATGAATATGAATAGCAAGCTCTAAATAAAGGATGATTCTAAACTAGAGGCTTAGGTTTCAAGCTTCCTCACTGAAAATGGATCCTCTGAATAAAAAGAGGCAGAACTTACACAATATTCTAGGCAAAGCGGGGGCCATGTCCTTAATTTTCTATTAACTTATCATAAATCTGTTGATCCAATCAAATATGAGACAGAAAGTTCAATATTTGGCAGTAGTTCAAATTCATGGTCCACCACAATTTACAATACCACTAACAAATGTTCCTAAAAGTTACAGACAGCCAAAAAGTACAAACAGGAATTATGTAAATGGCGTGGTATATTATTCTACATTGTTACTTTGAGCCATTTTATCAATTAAATGTCTGACAAGATGACAAGGGTCAATTACTAATTGATATCAATGACACAAAACATACCAGACCATTTAGGGTCATGAATTGAACTGTACTTGTGTTCACAACAACGTACAGTGTAAAACAGTGTAGCTTTGCCTGCCATTTCTCAAAGATGATGTAGATCTACGATGGCCTTCTTAATGTCTTCAACTCACAACACCAGATCACATCATTACAGAAGTGACACTAACACGGAATCTGTCTTTCAAATGTCACTGTGCTAACGCTACTAGCCAGAAAGCTTTATGGGCGAGTGAGGACAAACAGGAAATATTAGAGGAAGGGAGTTAATGATTAATCGCAGATAACCTAAAAATACGGCCATCTGCTTTATATGAAATGGACGTCGCATTTTTAAAAAACGGTAAGAAGAGTTACGGCCTAATTTCACAGTTGACCTTGCGTTCACTGCTAGCTAGGTAATGCTAACCGGTTTGCTAACTCCTCTCAGTCCCGGTATAGAGGAGAACTCTGCTAGCAAGTTTGCCAGTTCACTTTTCCACTTTTCTCCCTTTAGACTATTTCGTTGACAATACCCCTGTCTTCGATAACATTATATCTTAATCGTATGTCTCTCCTTAATCATACTTACACTGCGGGCTTTGGCGAGGGCACGACCCACGGTGCTCCCAACTCGGCACACGGACGCCGCCATTTCTTAGCTTGGTTAAAGAAGGCCGGCCAGACTCGACGGTTCCTCTGTCTGGTCACTTCTTCGTGGGAACTGTTGTTGTTTTTCAGATGGGTGTTACCGCCACCAGCCGTTCATTGTGTGTTATTGAATCTTTTAATAATTCTTCAGATTTGTTAATACTTTTCTACTCAGCTCTTACTAGTTTGAAAAACAAAACCAGTACAGACCAGTTGATAAGGCATTTCTTTGACTATGTTTTTTTTTCTTTACAGCAAGAAAAATTCAAAACGATGATTGTTCCCATGTATAAACTGAATGGAATTGTCCCCGCCATCTAATAGAATCATGACTATTTCTATAAAAGAAAATGAACCTTTAACAATTCAATGTTTTTATAAATTTCTGTGTGTAAGCTTATTGTGATAATGTCATTAAAAGTAGTAATATTTAGTAAGGTACCCTGAGCTCTGTTTTGGTTCTTAATGTTCTTAATGTTGGTAACTTCTATGATTTTGTAAGCTCTTGTAGCTCTCATAGGTATGGGATAGATATTTGATAGAATATAAAAATGTGATAGAATATAAAAATGGAATAAATATGGGAAAAAAATGGAATAAATATAGAAAAATACTTTATTCATCCCTCAGTAGAGGGAATATAAACAGTGATGGAGATATACCCTGAAAATACAAATAATCTGATTCAATATCAGTTGTGACAGGACTTTATAATCTATACAGAGTTTGATCAGACATTCTAGGAATGTGACAGGACTTCATACATTATTGCTGTTTCAGTCAGGCTGTCATATCCTTTGTATTGTAAGAATGAGCCCAAACAGCTATTGAACATTCTTTGGTCTTTTGGCAGTTCCACAGATAAATATCCCTCCAAAAGGATTCTACATGGGGAACAGATTTGTTGTGGATTTGGAAAGAAACTATAAAAGACAGGGTTATAATTTCAGTGCCGACTTTATTGTGAGGTAGGTCAAACATCCCTGCAAAAAGCGGAAACCAAGATTAAATTCTTGGTTAAAAAAGCCATTTTTTAATCAAATTGGATTCAGGCATTTGTGTGGCCAGAGACTTCTTGTTTGGGCTGTGTGGGAGCTGTAATCTCCTGCAACAAAGACCCTTTTTGGTCGTCTGTTGTGCACAGTTGGAGCTTCTCTGAGTACACATTTGATACCTCTGCCGCCCTCCTCCAAAAAAGCCCAGAAGATGACTTGCCATCAAGTGGATCAGACTTAACAGACTTGTTATCTGTCATTGGCAAGTACAGTGTGAGCGTTTCAACTGGGCTCGGCTCAAGTGGCTCTGGAGGAGGAGGGGGCAGCACCACACTGTTAATGTTCTTGAACTCTAAACTCTTCAGCAGCATCTTTGGCAAAGGTGTGACTTTTCCCCCATCCTTCTCTTTGATGCGGCCCCGGCGTTTTGGTGCTGAATGGTGGGAGTGCTTCAGCGGAGGAAGTGGGCTGGGGCTCTTAATGGCGAATCCTTCAACAAGAAGGTTGATGCCTATGTATTGAGGCACCTCTACTGCTGCCTACAGATAAAAGGTCACATCTACAGTGCTATTCCACCCATACAATACTGGCTGTTTACATACAACCTACATACTCAAAACCGTACCTGCCTGTATATGAGTTGGAAGTCTCCTGTGTCTGCATTGCGATCATCTCTCCGGTCCAGAACAATTCGCAGTGTGTCCTCCTGCACTGCAGCGCAGAGACTGGCCGTTACAGGGGTTGAAGGCGCCATAGTGGGACTGGAATTGATTTCTAATAACCATGGATGCAGGTCTTGACCTGAGAAAAAAAAACATGGAAAACATCAAACTATTTTCTGTGATATTCATTCTAAAGTTATCCAAGAAATGTTTTTTTTTTCCCCCAAATGAAGGTGACTTCATTGCTCTGTTCATCCATCAATTAATTTTATTCAGCTTGGCTAAGCCCAGACATGCCTCTCCCCTGTGACACTCCCAAGCTCCTCCTGTGGGATCCCAAGGAATTCCCCGACCAGACAGGTCTGCCCTGGGGACTGCTCCCAGTAGGTTGTACCTGGTGACCAGGCGGCATTCTTACCAGGTGCTCAAACCACCTCAGCTGATGAGGAAGAGGAGTGGTTCTGTTCGTTTACAACAGATAGTAACATACAAACCAAGCTCGTCCTACCTAGCATGAAATCAGCGCCGTAGAGCTCAAATGTGTTTTTGCGTGACTCCATCAGATCCTGTGCCGTCTGTAATGCGTGGATAATTGCTTTCTTCATTCCTGGAACCACCACAGCCTCCCACTGAGCTGCTTTGCCTTGACTGGCCAAAAAGGCCCTGAACTGCTGATCCAGCCACATGTTGTCTGCTGGAATGCCCCGATGACGCTGCTGAGAAGGCCTCAGGTGCTTCTGGATGGAGTTATTGCACAAGTGCACCGAGCTGAAGAATGCAGAAAAAGGACACATGAACAACATGCTGTTCAAAGATTCACTGACAAGAATTAGACTTATTCAACACATATTTGGAGATTAAGGACACTTACAATTATTTCATCCTATTTTTTTTTACCTAACAAATGGACATATTGTAAAAATATGTCCATTTCAGAAAATTAAGTAAAGACAAAAAGACAAAAGTTGCATATCATTTTGAAAAAGGATTTGACTGTCTCAGCTTCAATATCCCAGTTTATCTTTCTGCTACTTTCAGTCTTTTTACTATTTTTTGTCTATTTGTTGGTAGACTGGAGTTTCAGTTACTGCTTTTAGCCACTGACTCAGTTTGAAATTTGCAGTTGCAGATGTGGTGAGACCTTGCAGTTATTCAGATTAAGCACAGATGTGAGATCAAGTCTCCCTCCAAAATGACATGCAAAACCATCTTGCCATATTCTGTCTCAGTTCCCGTTCCTCTGTTTTAAAATCAACCTGCTTTCAAATCTGCTTCTCTCATCCTAAGTACTATCTTACCTTTCCAGTGTATCAAGTGAATATGGCTGTGTGGAAAAGCGCAGATAGCACTTTTTATAGAACCACACAGTCAGTGGGTTCCAGTTGGTAACCAGAAACCATTGGCGCACATCAAACTTGGTGCCATGGACCAACAAGGGGCGCTCGATATACTTCTGCACCACCCACTTACTATCCTTGACAAGTATTGGATCACTGTCCACCAGACGCAGGATCTGATCAAGGCGCTTGAAGCACTTTATGCCTTTGTGGAGGGAGAAACAGGTAAAACAAGGCTTTGGGAGGGAAGCAGGGTCCGATTGTGTTTTACTTCTCACCCCTGCCTCTCGACTTTGCCCCAGGTTTGATGATCCAGATGTTGTGTGTGCCATCTATGGCCAGCTGTGGGCTTTTTTCCTCCAGCCTCTGCAGCATGGCCTTGCAGCAGCTCACTAAACAATCACTGGTTTCAAACGTTGCTCCACGGCTGAGCGAGGAAGCAGAAAGTGGATCAGCATGGAGATCCTGAGGAGCAACTCCCTCCCTAAAATAATCGATTATTTGTCAAGCTCACACTGATACACACTCACTGAACAACACGGTAGTAAGCGTCAATAAACTCTGCCCACTCCTCCTGTGTTAGTGTGTGTGGCGTTGCCGAGCTGGTCTCTATGTCCCTGTGGTCCAAACTCTCCAGGTAGCCCTGGCATACTTTGAGTGCACTGTTGATTATTTGGGAATTTACCAACTGTTTGGAGAGCCGTTTGCTTTGTTTCCTTTGACCTGAATGTGGAGGAAATAAGTGACAACACCTTTTATAGTAGAACCAGTGACTCTATGGTCACGTGGTTCCGTACCACAAACAGTCAGAGTGCTGAGGCCCGTTCCCTCTCTTTGAATATCTTGTTCCCCTTCAACAATATGCTTCAGAAGACTGGTGCAAGCTGTCTGCCGGTAGTCCTCTGCCCAGAGACAAAGACGGTCTATTAGTAAATGCAGGTAGCAGCTGGACAACTATGACAGCAATTATTATTCAGTCGGTCTGTGAGTGTAGTACGATGACATCTAACCAATGAAAGCATGCCTCTCATCTAGGGCAGCTAATCTGTAACAGCGTGGGAAGAAGGTGTCTGGGTCAGCTGAATCAAACCAGTGAAGGTTCCTCAGGTTTACACACAGCCCTGCCTGTCGAAGGCAAAAAAAACAAACAAAACCCAGGAAACCATTGTTTGTCACTCGTGCGGCACGGACACTTCTGAAATTCTTAGAAATAGCAGCATCATACAAAGGAAACATACCTTGGTGGTAAAGGTGCCAGCCTTTGCAAAATGATTAATAATCTGTTCTTTCTGTAAGAAGTTAGCTCTGATGGCATCTCTCCTGTTTGTCCAGTAAAAATTAACCATTTCATTTCGCACCAGACGAGACTGTAGAATTAGAAGATGAAGGAATGTAGTCTGAATCCATGAAAGTTGCACGACAATTTTTTTTCTTTGTATTTTGCTTTGTACCATTAAATCATGGAATCCATTGGTATCCTGTTCTTTTTCAGCCTCATCTGAGTTCTCTGAGGAGAACATGAATGGGCCATAAACAAACGTAGAATATGGGAACACAGAGTATGACGTCATGTGACCTACCTTCATCGCTGTCCCCAGCATTGTGCCAGGCGGCTCTGCTCCCACTGCACTGGCGCTTCTGCGCCTGCGTCCGGGAGCAGTGCATGCGCTGCTCCACCCAGCCTCGAGCCCTCAACGCCGCCCGAATGACAGGGTAAGGGCCCTGGACAGAGAATATCTTATGCATCTGACGAGAAACAGCATAAGGGAAGAGGTTAGGGGCTCTTTCTGGGAGGGACTGAAATTCAAAGCCATTCTTCCCAAGATGGTAGCTCACCTTGACAGCTTTATCTGCATAGGCCTTGGCTGTCTTCAGCCTGTCTAGGTTATGAATGGGTCGATCAACTTTGGTCCCAGGACGTGTTGCTGACACACACACAGTTGTGCTTCCATCATTACAAACACACAAACTTGCATAAGTTCACATTTACTGATTTGTCCTTTTTGTCCCAACAAACGTGTGAAATGTTGAAAACAATTATACATCAATCTCTGTGTGTCCGTCAGCAGCACCTGTTCCAACCTGCACACGTAAAAATGTCTGCTACAAACAGTAGCTGTCCATTGTGTATAAGGAGCCAATACCATGTGATGAATTCTCTATCTGTCACTTGCAGGGTGAACCTACATGTCTGCAGGCTGTTTGCCTCATCTTGGTTCCAGTTCTGGGTGTCGGGTTCAAGTATTTCGGGGGACGGACCTGCATTTTCTCCTGCAACGTCAGCAACATAAAAATCCCTGTCACACCAACACCAGCAGAAATGCTCACAAAAGCTGTTTTTGCCAGCTAGGCCAGAGGACTGATGGTGTAATGGCGGTACATTTAGACTTAGTAAGTATTCCCTAATGGCATAATATGAAAAATATTCACAAATATGTAAAAAAAATATTTCCAATGTAACATATCCATTCGTGGAAAAGTAGAAAGATTTCCTGACAGTAGGGTTTGAAAAAAGTATTCCAGAAAGCTACATACATGACATTGACACAATAAGGCTTTGAAAAATAACAAGCAATGTCATTAAACTTCTATTTGTGGATTCCACGTTCCAACATTTGGCCACCCGCCCTGCTTTGTCCTCATTAATAATTCAGCATGTGTTATCATTAACCCATCCCTTTGAATGCAACAGCCGAGACGTCTGAAGGTGAAACGTGGTGCTGTCACGCGTCCATGGACAGCAGGTACGATGGAAACATTTGCATGCAGTTGGAGCTCCTTAGAAGAGAACAACTCTACGTAGCCATTGTTTGATATCCACTCACTGTCTGGCCATGGTGTCTGGCATACATCTGAATCCTGCAGACTGTCCTGGTCAAGCTGGACCAACTGACCCGATCTGTTGACCTCCATTCTCACAATGACTCATTCTTCAGAGCCATCATTTGTTGGTTTCATCATCCCTTTGCATTCGTGCTGTGTAAGTGTAACAAACACACAACTGAAAGACAAGTCATTGCAATGGAAAGAATTACTACAGCTCTGTAGGCTGCATGCATTCCCCGGCTCGATCAGTCTGCAGATGAGTCAAGATGCTCTGAGTGTGTGTGTGTGGGAGAGAAACACTAACACAGACTGTTGTTACACTAAAACTTTTCAACTTCTTTGCCTGCTATTAAGCCACCGCAGATTTTTTTTAAGGTCCCATCTAGACGTACAGCAATACCTCTGTTCGATACAAATCTCATGCATCCTACTCTCATTCCATTTTTTTTTTTTTAAAGATGTCAGTAATATTTTACCCCTTAAAGCACAACCCTGTTAAATTACTCCTCTCACCTGCTGGAAGCGGCAGGTGTTGTTGCTGCTTTAATGCCAGTTGAGTTTTACCTGAACTAACGGTGACTGTTAACCTGTTTGTTGTTGCTACGGCAACGGCAGGAGCACCCCCTCATTTCCCCCAGTGGTTATATCTCTTAATTACAATGGCAGTAAATCAATAGATGAATAATAAAACAAACAAAAAAAAATATTCCATGGTGTTTATTTTCACTCGGTTATAGTTTACAAACATAAACTGTTTGACGTTGATTAGCCTTCCCTGCACGTTAGGGGATTATTTTTTGGATTTTGAAGTCAAATTTGAAAATGCCAAAAGATATTAGATTTTTTTGGCTTCAACGAAGCTTAACTATAAAACATTTGGAACATTTGTTTTATTCTTGAGATTTGACGTCGGTTTTACACTTTAAGATAACATTTCCTTTATTCGCCCTTGAAATGTAATAAACTGCTTTTAAACAATTTCCCTGTATTATAGTACATTTAAACGACTGGTTGTGAACTGTGATGAAAATCCACTCTATTTTCAAATCCATCTTATCTACAAACTATGAAACACCAATGTGACGTCAGAGCCGCCGCCATGTTTATTTTTTCTCAGAAGGGGCTGGGCCGCGGTACGTCGTGATGCAAACTCAGCCTCTCGCTTCAGAGTCCTGTCCAGGCAAATCCCCGCTCTATATTAAAATACACACCAAGCTGCACAGCAAGCCACACGTCCACGCAACTCCATTTTCTCCAGCGAGAAAAAGAAACGGTTTCGTTTCCAGCTTGTGAAGCTAGCCCGCTACGTCTGTAGTCCTGCTCGGCTGAACGTGTTTCTGGACCTCTCCGGGTCCCGGTAGAGTTTGAAATGTGTGGAAGAACTGCGTGCACTCTGGCTCCTGACGAGTTGAGACGAGCCTGCACTTACAGAAACCGACGTGGTCAGCGGCGGCAGCCCCGCTGGAGGGAGGGAGACGCGGAAAAATACAAACCCTCCTACAACAAGAGTCCCCAGTCCATGAGCCCCGTGCTGCTGTCCCAGAGACATTTTGACAAGGTAACGAACCCCAGTGGAACCACCGCTCTAGTTTTTCTAGGCTGTATCCTTCCGCGCGTGTCGGGGTTTCCGATCCTTTCTGTTGAAGGGTGAAAAGTAAAAAAAAAAAAAACACAGGTGGTCTCATGTAATGACGTTTACTCCACTTACCGTTTACAGTGCTTTTTTTTTTCATTTTTATTTTATCCTTGTGTAGGACATGACAGGCTTTTTTGCATATTCTCTAGTCCAAGTGCTATTAAAAAATAACGGAGCTACTACCTGTTTTCTCCTTGGCGTGCTATCAGAATGCACCTGTGGATGAAAACGTTCTGGCGTCCATGCGGTGGGGTTTGATACCTTCCTGGTTCAAGGCCAACGACCCAAGCAAGATGCAGTACAGCACCAGCAACTGTCGCAGTGAGAACATTCTCGAGAAGAAGTCCTACAAGGTGCAGCAAGTTGTGGGGAAAGCTCTGATCTTTCCTGCTTTGTGAGTATTTGTGCAAAGGATTGTCTCAGAACTGTGCTGTCTTCTCTTCAAAGGATCCCCTGCTCAAGGGACAGCGCTGTGTGATCTTGGCAGATGGTTTCTATGAGTGGCAGAAGGCGGAGAAGGGGAAGCAACCTTTCTTCATCTTCTTCCCTCAGACCAAGAGTTCCTGCCAGGAGAAAGGGGAGGATCAGGATGAAACGGTGTCTCCAGCTGGCATCAATGAGACTTCAGAGGTAGTGTGTCTTTCTGGGGAAACATCCCCCACTTAATCTGAGGTTTGCTTTTCATATTTTTATAGAATTTTGAACGTTTCTTTCATCTGGCAAAGTTAAAAGGAATAGGCTGGAGTACAGAGAATGCGGCATAATTTCCTGTTGGAGAGTCCTGTCAGAATGTGCATGTGTCCACCAGGTGTTGTTTTTTTCATATGAGACACACAAACTTACACTTAAGATATTGATGCTGGTATTGAAGAATTGTGAAGAAGAAAAAAGGAAATAAAAATTAAATGTTTTTTTTAAATGAAAATATTTTGAACATGTTTCTTTTTTGTTTTTACCGGTCTGTAAGGAAGGAGAAGCACCGGCTGAGTGGGATGGCTGGAGGCTGCTGACTATGGCCGGAGTGTTTGACTGCTGGACACCACCTGATGGAGGAGAGCCCCTTTACTCGTACAGTGTTATTACTGTGGATGCTTCACCAAACCTGCAAAGCATCCATAACAGGTTGGACAGTGAAATGAAAACACGCTTCTCTCTCTCTCTCTCTGTCCTTTTTCCTTTTTTTTTTTTTTTCTAACCTTCAATTGGATGTGTGACTGTCTTTTAGGATGCCAGCAATCCTGGATGGAGAGGAAGAAGTGAAAAAATGGCTAGATTTTGGGGAGGTGAAGTCTCTTGATGCACTGAAACTGCTTCAATCTAAAAACATTTTGAGCTTTCACCCCGTGTCCTCTATAGTAAATAACTCGCGCAACAACAGCCCCGAGTGCCTCCAGGCAGTGGATCTTGGCAGTAAAAAGGTTAGAATTAAAGACGCAGAACGTGCAGATTTGTGCTGCAAGACAGGAGGGTTTTAGCTTTTGTTATTGTTTTTTTCAAAGGTGCCCAAACCCACAGCAAGCAGCAAAGCGATGATGAGCTGGCTGTCCAGCAGCTCCCCTTCAAAGAGGAAGGAGCCGGACACACGTGACGAAGAGCGAGACAAAAAGCCCGGGACTCAGCGCAAGTCTGAGGAAGCACTTCAGCGGTGGCTCCAGGGAGCCAGCAAGAAACCAAAGACAGGAAGTCTCTGAAAGTACATTTTGGCCTCATTTTAAAAGCCTGTTTTCTACTGTTTTTAAATGTAACCAAAACATTTAAGATTGAATAAATAAATACTTAAAATACAGGATGCTTTATTCAAGACTTTTATTGTTCTTATTACTTGAAACGCAAAGACATTTTGAAACAATGTAGATGCTGTGCATTTATCATATTAATAATATAATGATGAATGCCAAAAACTCCCCCCCCCCACCACGCGTTGTCAGCTTTCAGTTACAGTATGTATGTATGTATGCATGTATGCCGTCTTGGACTATGATGAATTTCTAAATTTTTAACATAATACAAATGGACAGTTAAAGATCTGATCAGTTAAAAGAAACATCAAGCACTTAAGATTGTTTGCAAACATGAGCAACTGGCAGTCAGATATGGTTTGAAAATATACAGTCCTGCAATAATTGACAGTGAAAAGAAATAATAGCAAATAGTACTAATTAATGATTTCTTGGAGAGGCCTCTTTCCTCTAGGCTTAACAGGTAGATTGACATGCTGTATTAGTTAGACCCATGTCAAATGTATGAACAGTTGTAGATGACATTTTCCCCAACAGAGGGACAGCACTTACACCAAGGAGCTGAGTCGGCATTCACATGATCTCCTCTACCTGAGCTACAATCACAATTATTGTGGCTCAAAATGAGTTGTCTTCAGAAGTCTTCAGCTACTGAGTATTCCAGCAAAGTGCGAAAAAAGGAAACAAAAAAAACAACATCCTGTACACAATTGTTATTGTTCTAGATTCCCAATTCTGTGCCAATTAACAAGAATCAGCAGGCAGCATATTAATGTTCTCTCCACAAGCCCCTTTTCAGAATATTCAGATTTAGTATTTATTTTCTTCAAATGATGTTTGGTGAAACCATGGTAACGCCTATTTGGACAAATTGAAGTTATCACACAAATGAGAAAACACGGGGCAGCAGTTGTGGGCTGCGAGAGAGAGAACACCCACCACTGCTACTGATATTATCATTTATTTTAAAAAACAAGGACGAAGGAATTTGCCTCAGTTAAATGTCCAGATCAACACAGAAGCAGTGCTCAGATTTCCCACAAAGTTTTCAATTAAAAGCAGTTGGGAGCCATACCTTGAACTGAAAGTGAGATTAGCCCAAACCACCAGAGCTGTGAATGGGAAACACTTGGAAGTAATAAGCATCTTACAAGTTAATGCCAGAATGTTTCCTTAAGGTGTTCTTTGGGCTTGGACACTGATACTTGATAGAAAATGTGTATCTGTATACATAGAGAGGTGAGTGCAGCATGTTGGTGTGTAATAATATACTCTGGGTGGGATGCTGCTTGTATGTTGGGCATTAGGGCATAACACAGTGGACTATGGGAAAGGGGGTATATAGACAAGGCAAGACAGGGTAGTGTGGGCAATGGCAACCCCCAAGATCCTCAGAGTCCTCAACAACTGCAGGCCTCTGCTGACGGCTTGGCCGGCTCGTTCCTGCCCAGCTTGATTGGCTCGGGAAACTCGTTGTACAGCTCCACTTCAGTCTCCTGAGATCAGACAGCACAGACAAAATGACTCCCTCCTGACCCCCCGCGGAGACGTTCAAAGTGGCGTTTCTAGGATGTTAAAGTGGAGTTGCTGGACTTTCTGGTCCCGTTACCTGTTTAAGGGCGTTGCGTGCAATCGTCTGAAAGGCCTGCTCCACATTTATCGCCTCTTTGGCGCTGGTTTCGAAATACGGGATGTTGTTCTTGCTCTGGCACCAAGCCTGTGCTCGTTTGGTTGTTACCTGAAACACAAGAGGCACATGACACGCCAGGTGTGTGAGCATTTTTTGAGACATGGGAAGAGAACGATGCTCGTGTCAGTTTGCCGTAAATCACACAGCACCGACCCACCTGTCTGTTCTCCAGGTCGATCTTGTTGCCTAGCACCACGAAGGGGAAATTCTCTGGGTCACGTGGGCTGGCCTGGATCAAAAACTCGTCCCTCCAGCTGTCCAAGGTCTTGAAGGTGTTGGGGGCCGTCACATCAAACACCAGGACGCAGCAGTCTGCCCCGCGGTAGAAGGCCACGCCTAAAGACTGGAACCGCTCTTGCCCCGCGGTGTCCCAAATCTGGAAGGCAGAGGGGGCAGGATGTGAGCTTAAAGGGACACTCAGTGTGTTTACCTACAAAACAAAAACAGAAAAAACTCTACCGAGCTTTGCTCCGGTTTAATACCTGCATTGTGACGAGTCTGTCGTCCACCATGACCTCTTTTGTCAGGAAATCTGCGCCTATTGTGGCTTTGTACTGGTTGCTGAACTTCTTATTCACGTACTGGTTCATCAGTGAGGTCTTGCCAACTCTATGAAGGCAGACCAGAACAGGATCTTTTCAGTGAAGACGCGGCTCATCATTCAGACCTCTTTCCATGAGGTGACTATTCCACATCACTTACCCTGAGTCTCCCAGGATGATGACTTTGAGAAGTACTTTCTTCCTGGACGTCATTTTGCCACAGCTGTCTGAGGAGAAAAAGCAGAATCAGAATGAGTGAAAACCAGACTAAACCAGCTTTGTCATTATGATAACCCTTATTAAACGGGCCAACAGATCTCTTCTGAGAGTGTTTAAAAAGTCCAGCCAGAAGACGTTCACCCTCTAAATGACTGGGTGCAAAGTCTCCTTTAAGTCGCTTTATTTTTTATTTCCCATTCAATTAAACGCACGGCAATAAGCAACAAACTGCTCTGTATTGTTCACCAAGTCTGCATCCAACAATGGCCGGACAACAGACTGGACGTGCAACAATATGTGACAGAAATACCTCCGGCTAGTTGTTGGGAAAGCTTTAGGTCCTTCTGTGTTTGCATCTTTTATTAGCCTGCAGAGCAGAGTGCAGTTCTCTGAGAAGCCCACAGAGTTAGAGAAAAACTCTGCCGCGCAATCGGCGGAACTGAACAAGTTAATTTCCTCAGGCAGAGGCTTCTTCAGCTCTTTTGCAAGAGGAAGCAGTTGAGAAAGTATTCTTTCTATGCCAATCGATTTATCACAGACGATGAGTCTGGGTCAGAGTGCCCCTACAGCTGTTTACTTTCAGTTTTTTCCCTGGTTGATGTTATTTAGACAACAACGCATCAATGTATTTACCCTTTGAGATTAATACAACCTATTCTAATGAACTAGACTATGTTGAGGTAGGGAATTGATCTTTATTCCTACGATGCACGTTTTTGTCCCTGCATTGTTTGGTTTCAGGTTCTTTTTCTACTGTAAAGCAGTACCAACCTGTAAGAAGCCGCAGTATCCTGTGCTGCATTATTTACAGAAATTAATATTGACTACTTTCACTCAGATTTTCGTATACCTGCCCAAACAAACAAGTCAGTGGTGCACAAACATAATCTAAAGAATTTTGTTGGGTGAAACTAAAGATTAAGCTCCTGCAGTTATGTTGACTTTGAGAGAAAGATCCACCCATTCTACATCCATATCTGATCTGTCAGCTTCAAATAGATCCTGAAGTAATAAAACACACACACATACATATACATATATATATATATATGTGTAGATATATGTCAAAGCACACACAATGTAAATATCCCCGTGTCTAGGCTAGCTCAGGGAAATGTTTCTGACTGGCCATGGGTGCTACGCAATAATAACCTCCTTATACAGCTGTAATGGCCAAAGTCCAAACCCTATTACCGAATTATCATGCAGGTCAGGTGAAGCTTTGGAGCCAGCGATACTGGAGTTAAACATGCTAAATGCGCGTCCTTTTACTTCTGAAATATCGGACAATCACCAAGAAAAAAGCCAAGGGCTAAGGCAAAACCAACACGGAGCGATCTGAGCGGCTCTCATAATCGGTACCCCATGACACAGTGTCAGGGACTGATCACATGGCTTTAAACACACGACCGAAGGAACCATGACTTGGCAGGCATGATTAGCAAACCAAGTGCTGCCCCTGGAAAAAACCACACCGCTACCGGTGTAAATCAAAAGCGAAATGACAACTTGTTTGCGGGTGTTTCTTCTTACAAAACTGAATCGGCGTCATGAGATGAGAGATTTTATCATAACTTGTAAATACTTACACAAGGATACGAAGGTTTTTTTTGGGTAACCAAAATGTTACATGGAAAGAAGAACAAATGGATATGAAATGGCTTGCAACCAGATATACCATGAAACATAAAATCGGACCAAGTTGAAAGCTACCGTTTAGAATCATATTCGCTCATGGTTTGACAAAAATACACCGTTTCAGTTGGACTTATTAATTTAAGCTAGCAATCGCTAGCTAAATCAGGTTTATTAACCTTAGTAAAACTTAAAAAAACGACAGTTATACTGTTGACACATGTCATAAGCAACACCGACAGCTTAAGTTACTAAAAACAAACCTGAGCGATGAACCTTTAGGAAAAAATAGGGACGCTGGACTTTTCCTCTGCTTCGGATGGAAGTGTTAGCTAACGCGCAGGACAGCAGACAGGCAGGCTAACAGCTCCAACAAATGTCTGCCGCAACTAAACAACACGTTCAGAGTGTCGACAGCTGCGCAGCTGTCGAAGGACTGACGTTTCCACTAACCCTTCTAATCAAGATCAATACAGTCAATGTAAGCGTAAAACGATGTGGTAACGGGGTCTGTTTCGTTCAGGTCCAGTTAACGCTCGGTTTTCCTCTCAAGCTAACCTGCTAGCTGCTAGCCGAATCGAGCTCTGTTCACTTCCTCCAAAACAAGCTGTCTTCGCGAGGCTGACGTCACGCCCTGGTCACGCCTTGCTGCACGGGACCCGAAGGCCAACAAAAAACACATGTCTGATAATAAATCATCAAATGCCATGCTACCGGTGTCACCGCTTCAGAACACAATAATAGAAGGGTTTAAACGCATCATTTTCGCCACTGCCCCACTGACTTGTTTATACCTAGAAATTATATCTGATTACAACATTGTGTTTCCATAGAGAAATGAGACAAGAAAGATGATTTGCACGAGTCAAAGTTTGTGTAGACGAGCAATTGGCCTTTAAAGTCTCCACAAAACTTTATCAGGTTGTTAATAATTACACTGGCTCAACAAAATGTTTGAATCCACTCAACATTCTTTCATTAAAGTAACATCTACATGGAGGTTTTTACTTGTAACATGCCAGAATGAGACAAAAATGATTTAGCAAATTGCAATGCTTCAAAATAATAGCTTATATACCACATCAGAATACTGACTTATCGCTTATCCACCAACTAATTGGTCAGTGCTGTTTAAACTTTAAATAGAGGCTGATGGCGTAATGTTAAGGCTGAAACGTCTGTGTTGCTTAATCACTTTATGAGATTTAAATCTATTCATTTCGACAACGCAGTTTTAACCATCTTTTAAAAATAAGCTACTTCAATTTCAATTGACTTCAGTCATGAATTTGCCTTCTGTCAACTGGGTGAATCCAGTTGGACTTGGAACGAGTATTTTAAAGTTGACACATGTTTATGCAGATCTGGTTAGAACATTTTCTTTTGCAATGAAAGATTTATTTGTTTCCATCATTATAAAAGGTAACCACCCTGACCTGCCGAAACCCGGGATCGAACCAGGGACCTTTAGATCTTCAGTCTAACGCTCTCCCAACTGAGCTATTTCGGCTAGACGACATCAAACGGACACGTTTGAGCTCTAGTACCACACCCTGTCACCGGACCTCCTGTTCACTATTCATTATACTTACTTTAGATGCCGGACCAACGAAAGGCCGAAAATTGATATTTTATTTCTAAGTAAACTCCGAGTTGTCAAAGTTTGCATTATATGACACACTTTTATAGGGTAGAGGATCTCCATAAATCTTTGTAACGTGCAAGCACGTTGTAGTGTACGCGCTGACATCATCACGTCTGACTGAATGAAGCGTCATCTTTCTGATGTAGAGCGGAGCGGCGGTCTTTCATATCTGCTCTACATTTCTTTCAATCTCACCGTTACAACCTCAGTATTTCAGGTCACAACTCAATTCGCCATGAAACGAAAGTTGCTGTTTCCTGCCGCTTGCCTGCTGCTTTTGGTCTTTTCAAGCTCGGGGGTTTCAGCGGACGGTTTGGTGAACGAGGATGTAAAGAGGACAGTGGACCTGAGCACTCATCTGGCCAAGATCACTGCGGAGATTGTGTTGTCCAACCAGGGCAACTCCGCCGTCCAAAGCTTTATCTTAGCAGTAGAGGCTGACCTGGTACCGCACCTGGCGTATATCGGAGCTTCGGTGAGCTAAACATTGATATGGGGAAACGGCACTTGTAGGCTCACAATGTAGCCGGCTAGCTTTAGCCTGTTAGCCGTTATGCAGTAAGCTCATAAGCCCTCCATATTTTGGCTTTGCTAAACATCTCTGGTAGCACGCCTTTGTTTATTCTTTGGCGGGTCAGATGCAAAACTGTGGACTATGTGTACTATTAGCATGCTGCATCAAAATGCGCCTATGCTTTTCATTGTAGACAAGAATGCTGCGCTACTAGCTTGAGCGCGATTTTGTTACAATGAGCTGTGCACGCACGGAAGTCATATAGTCAGATACAGCCAATGGCAGCCGCTGCTATAACCTCTACAATGAACAAATAACTCAATTCACACCAAATGCCTGGAAATGCCATTTACGTTCAAAGGTAGATGGAGTGGTAGTATTTTTAATAATTAAGGCTAAGGGTGCATAAAGCAAGACGTTAACTTCCGCAGAGCTCCACGCTCTGTCAGTGGCTGAATGACACGTATGCGCTGGGCAGTTCACTTCCGCGTATGACTGCGCACGGGCCGGCCCCCTTCCACTGAGACAACCTGGAACAATGCGCCGTTTTTGGATGCAAAACCAAGCTGCTAACACTTGATTTTTTTTTGTTATTGATTTTGTTATAATGTCGAGTTTCCTCAAATATTCCTCTAAGTGCACTCTAAAGAGAATTAATCCAAACCACCTTGTCTTCACAGGTGAAGGGTGATGAAGAGGATGATGGCACACTAGAACTCCAGCAAACAACAATTCAGGGCAAAAGGTATGACATCAGAATCTTCCAGTAGTTCTTAATATTTACATGATCAGGGTTCTCTAGTGCAACCTTAATGCATGCTACACACTGCAGTTACAGGAGTCGTGTCAAACTGACGTCCTCCACCACGAAAAAAAACTGTTTATTAAAGGTTCTTTTAAAGGAAAATAATAATGTTACAGGATGCTCTGCAGTGGGTTTGCACTTGTTAACATTTTCAATCTTTTGAATGCTTTAGTGGTGTCTTGTTTTTTTTGTTAAGAGGCCAGAAACTGAATGTTGAAAATGGTCTTAACAGCTACTGTTTCTTGTCTCGTCTGTCTCTTAACAGTGGAGAGTTTTACAAAGTGCAGCTGCCGTCCAGTTTGGCTGCTGGTGGTCAACTGAAAGCCAAGGTGGAGATGACATTCAGCCATGTCCTGAGGCCTTTCCCCTCACAAATCACGCAGGCCGAGCGCCAGCTGGTGATCTTCCAGGGGAACCACTACTTCTACTCTCCCTATCCGACCCGGAGCCAGACCACACGTGTCCGCTTGGCCTCCAAAACTGTAGAGAGCTACAGCAAGCTGGGCAATCCCAGCAAGACCGATGAGATTATCGAGTATGGACCCTTCCGAGATGTCGCTCCATTTAGCGAGGTACAGCTCTGAGCAGACCTGTTTGGCTTCCCCTTAAGCCGCAAAGACGTCTGCTAACAAGTTTGATGTCGCTTGTTCTCAACTATTCAGGATGCAATGAAAATCCATTATGAAAACAACACGCCCTTCCTCACCATCACCAGCATCACCCGCATCATCGAGGTGTCTCACTGGGGAAACATTGCTGTGGAGGAGACCATCGACCTGAGGCATACAGGAGCCATGCTGAAGGGCCCCTTTTCACGTTACGATTACCAGCGTCAGTCTGACAGTGGCATCTCATCCGTCAAGTCTTTCAAGGTTTGACTTTGTAGACAATTCTTCGGATTCCACTATCTTTATGGTATTTATAATGACTCCATCTGTTTGTTTGTTTTTTGTCCACAGACAATTCTTCCCGCCTCAGCTCAAGATGTCTATTACAGGGATGAGATTGGGAACATCTCCACCTCCCATCTCCAGGTTCTGGATGACTCCGTGGAGGTGGAGGTGAGGCCTCGGTTCCCTTTGTTCGGAGGCTGGAAGACCCACTACATCATCGGCTACAATCTGCCAAGCTACGAGTACCTCTACACCCTGGGTATGTCCTGCTATAACATGCCTGAGCATGGAATAAGGTGTAAAATCATTGTATAACTTTCTTCAGAAAACTGGCAAAGGGAAATGAGTCCACCTTTAAACACACTGTCTGCAGAGGGCTGACGATTTGGACCCATACTTTGAATGTAATATTTTCCCATGCTCTAAAAACAAGGATGTGTTTGCTGACGCGCTGCATCATCTGACCTCCTAGGTGACCAGTATGCACTGAAAATGAGGCTAGTGGATCACGTGTATGATGACCAGGTCATTGACTATATGACTGTGAAAATGATTCTGCCAGAGGGCGCCAGGTAAGTCCCCTGTGTGTCGGAACAGAACTAGGCAGCTGTGTTTTATTTAGGAAGTTGACCAGTTTTTGTTTTGTTTCTGAGCAGAAACATCCACGTGGACACACCTTACAAAATTGACCGCATGCCAAACCAACTCCACTACACATATCTGGACACCTTTGGCCGACCAGTGTTGGTGGCCACAAAGGGCAACCTGGTGGAGCAGCACATTCAGGATTTTGTGGTAAAGACGTGTGCACGTTTCAGCGCATATGTGTGACTGCTTGATTTACCAGCAGTAGAGTGAAAAAGTTATTTTTAAGGAGGAATTATTTTAGTTTGTTTTGGCATTTTAAAAAGTTACAAAATGTGCACAAATTCTAAAAGTATATTTATCGTATTAAGAATGTTCTGATGACTGTCTTAATCAACCTTTTTTCTGATTTCCAGGTTCATTACAACTTTAATAAGATTCTGATGCTACAGGAGCCACTCCTGGTAGTCGGAGCTTTCTACATACTTTTCTTCACTGTAATAATCTACGTCCGTCTAGACTTTGCCATCACAAAGGTATATTAAAACAAAAAAACTGAGATACTCACACCTTCATTGATATCTGTTGTGCCGTTTTAACTTCGTTCCCCTTTGTTCAGGATCCAGCTGCCGAGGTGCGCATGAAGGTGGCCTCCATCACCGAGCAGGTGCTGACTCTGGTCAACAAGCGCCTGGGCCTGTACCGGCACATGGACGAGGTGGTCAACCGCTACAAGCAGTCCCGGGACACGGGGGCGCTCAACAGCGGGCGGAAAACTCTGGAGGCCGACCACCGAGCTCTGACCAACGAGATCAGCTCGCTCCAGGCCCGCCTCAAGGCAGAGGGCTCTGATTTGGCAGAAAAGGCAAGTGAACGTCGGGGTTGAAATGTGGCGAGCCCTGTTGGCTCTGGGCACAGCAGTGTTTACACCCCTGTGCGTGTCCTCAGGTGGGAGAGGTGCAGAAGGTGGACGGCCAGGTGAAGGAGCTGGTGTGCCGCTCCAGCCAGGAGGCGGAGCGGCTGGTGGCGGGGAAGGTCAAGAAGGAGGCTTACATTGAGAGCGAGAAGAACCTGACCAGCAAGAGGCAGGAGCTGGTCGGCCGCATTGACAGCCTGCTGGATGCCCTCTAAACTATGCCAGCACTCTCTCACACACACACGCACACACATTAACACCTCTGCTGACAACAAGAACCAACCGTTTGTATAAAGAAAAAAGAAAAAAGCATTGAAATGTCATCATTTTTGACCATCTTCATATCCACAAATGGACAATTAACATCTCATCTTATGCTAGTGATGGGTTTATCTGAATATGTGCCTTTGTGCCTGGTGATAAACTTGTGATCACTGCGTGCTCAGCTCCAGAGCAGCTTCATCCCAATCTTTGGCATTTCTTTTGTTTCTGGTCCTCGGCAGAGTTTCCCCCAAAGGTTCACGCTAGGCTCAGACTTGATGTGTTCATGATCAAACCCGTACTTTTTTTTTTTCTTTTTCTGTCACCAAAAAGTTTGGGTAAGGGACTGTTTTTGAAAAGAACAGTGAAGGGCCACAAGGATTTTCAGTTTCACGTCTTTGCTCACGTTTATACTGTATTAAAAGCTGATTCATTTCCTGGATGTAAGTGAAGATGATCATTTCTTCCAACCTTCTCTCTTCTGTAGATTTTTTTTCTATTTGCCCTGGACTGACATTCATATTTGAATCTCTTATTCTGTGTGATCGCCAGCCCTTGTTTTTTGACGTTCCTGTCATATTTTATACATTTTGTATGATTGTTTTTTTTTTTTTTTTTTTTTTTTTTTTGGTCAGTGGCGTTTGTTTTTGACTGTGAGATTAAAAACTGAAAGAGATTAGACGGTATGTGCGAAAAAGGACATGGGAGATGTAAAACAAAATTTGTGAAATGGGCAATGATGTGGATCACTGTCAACTTTGAAATAAAGTTTTGAAAAACCCATCTTTAGTTTCAACCCTGGTCTGCTTTTGATCGAACCTTTTCTTATTTGGGGATGCAATGTGTGTAGTTCATACCTAGGGGGCGCCTTTGTTCAAGGAATTGTTGGGACAATCAGCCTTTTTTTTCCCCCTTTGGTTGTGGCTTTGTTCAAAGTTAATTTGGACAGTGTCATTCCAATTTTAATATCTCCCCTCGATCCAACAAAAAAAAAAAAAAGTCATCCCGAAATAAGACCGAGCCTCATCTGAACCATTTCTACCACCTTTAAAAACGGGCACCTCATAGGGAATTTCCTTCACATTGTTACTTTATAAATGCAACCCCACCTATCAACCCATCTACTCCCCAGCCACCAGAGCAGCAGACTTGCCTCCATCACAGTCCAGGACAAACACCAGGGTCAGTCTGAGGTCATCACTTTCCCTCTGAGGTCACCAGGGGTCCCAGCAGGTCATTTCCTGCTGCATAATAACAGCCTCGCTCCTCTCACAATGATGGCGTTCACATATTGTATGTGCCTTACAATAATCATTCTGAAAATACACGGCAACGAGAAAGCTGAGACAATGTCCGTCAGCGCCGATGCCTGGTGGTGGTGAAAGGCCACACAATGGCATTTTTGTTTGTGTGTTTGTGTTTCAGCAGAGATTTTTTTTTCAGAGAGCCGCGGAGTCTCAGTCCCACAACAGAGAACGCCGCGGTGACGTCCATCTTAACACCAGCAACCGCGGCGAACACATGGCTGAGCTCACGTCTGCTCTCTCCTCTGGAATGACGCAATCTGCTCATTAAGGGAATCGTAAAGTTGTTGCGTTGACTAACTTGAGTCGGATCATTAAAGTTTTTGACAGTAAATGCATGGTAGCCCTCCATCAGCAGACCTAGACGTTACATTTTAGAGACATGGACAGGTTACCGGATAGGTTGGACGGGAAAAGGCCCAGGAGGCCCTGAATCTAATCCAAAGAAATGTTTACAGTTTAAATCTGAGGAGAAGATACACAAAATCAGTAACGTACAATGTAATGTAAAGCCCAGGCTGAGGGAATACAGCCAAAAGGATATGAAATTCAAATATTATTTGCTAACTTCTTGCTAACTGAAACAGAAAAGCAGAAACAATGTAACACAATGCCATTTAGGTCTGAATATGACTGGTGAAAAAAAGAAAAAGAGTAGATTTCTAACCTCAAACTATAGTCTAAGTCTAATTGGATCTCTTATTGACAATACATTATTTTTACTGCTGTTCAGAGCAAACTTGATCAGTTCTGATGATGGGCTGTAGTCTGGTGACATTCCCTAATTCCTCCCTTTCAAAGAATGACTTCCCCCATATTGGATCTGGGATCGCTCTCCCAGCAGCCATTTTGGAACGTGGCAGAACCTTTAGGCTGGCTGCATGTCTCACATCCTTTTGCTGATGCGTTTGCGCTTAGAGTTTCTGCATGACCGACAAACCCCCTTGTCTTGTTGTGGCTGACTGGAGGCCTTTCAGTCTTCGCATTTCTAGCCCAGGATATGATTACTGGTCGCACAGGACCTGCGGTTTATCTGTTGGTGCAAAATGAGCAGAATACTGTTTAAACCGGAATTCATATGCTGCACTGTATCCTGATGTGGCAAAGCGTACGTGTGTGAGAGGCTGAGGTGGATGCTGGGGTTTCGTGCTGGGTGCTGGGACTGGTTGGGCCATGTGGTTGAGCTGTCACGACCCCCCCCCAACCCCACCCCCCCCAGGCATGGGGCTGATTATTATCTTCTTTTCCCGAAGTATAGTAATGATGCAGTGTGTTCTCTCTTTATCTGCCAGAAATAATGAATATGCAAAAAAAAAATGCAAAAAAAAAACCCTGTGAAGTCAAAGTAGATATCAGGTGAGGGGGTAATGCACAAGCCCTGGGCCTAGAGACGTGCTGGTGATTGATTGCACTGAGGGCTCACCTGCAGTATTCTCCCTCTTAATCTTTCTTGCTCTAAAATACACGTGCACAATCAAACACACATACAGAGAGAGGCAGAAGTCACCAGTCAGGGAACAATATCCTGCTCAGAAGACCCTTCACAGCGCGGTCTCATAAATCACCGAGACAGAGCCACCACCCTCACTGTCACCGCGTTATTATGCTCACACTCGCGGGTCCAAGTTCCTCACGACATTCATTCAATTCGGTCCGTCCTATCCTGCAGCTCAGCCGCCAACGGATGCCATCAAAAAGAAGAAATATGAGCTGAATCTGGAAAAGAAAAAAAAAACGCAGCCTCGAACACACGCCTCACCTGTACATATTCCCCTCTGGCTCTGCCTAAAACAAACATCTTCACAACAGGAGTTCTGTGTCCCCCCCCCGTCTGCACCGGCCATTCCTCAGTGACAGGGAGCCGGGATGAGAGGCTCTGGAGGGGCGGATGAAAGCCCGCGGGCTCAGGTCCCGGGGCCCTGTGCCTCTGTGCAGGTGGCAGGTGTGATGCGGCCGGCCGCAGAAGCGTGAGGGCGAGGAAGAGGAGGACAATGAAGGTGTCTGTGGTGCCGGCTGCAGCTGCAGGAGGCGGGGAAGGAGCGGGACTGACAGACGAGATGGTCCGGCGGGCAAAAGGAAGGGGAAGGACGGCGCGGGGAGCGTGGAGGTGGAGATGGGACTTCAAACAGAGGATTGGGTTCTGGGTGCCGAGAGACACATTCTTGTCTGGCATGGAAGAGGTGGGGATGAAGGGTCAACGGGACAGATAGATGACACGCGGAAAAGATCCAAAGTCCACTTTCCACGTTCCCCCTTGTGCAGATGTTTACATCACGCACGGTTTCTCTCAGAGCCTTTGTGCTCTTCCTCTATCTGTGTGCATACTAATGTCAGCCGCCCTCTCTGTATGGATTTATATCAATGAGACAGTAATCCTCTTGCCTCGCGGCCCTTGTGTACAACTGTCCACAGCTCCCACTAAAACCCACTGATCTCTGCCACATGGCGCTCCATCAAAGTGCTGATGGTCATGCCTTTCAGGAAGAGTTTTGCCAACCAAAAAAAAAAACGCACCCATGTGGCCCATCTATGTTCCTCAATGCACGGGATAAGCTGTAGATGAAGGTCTAACACCACTCCAGACTGTGTCATCGTGGATCAAACGAAGACAAGTGAAACAAAGCCGCCCTGTGTTCAAAAGCAACTGTCCTTTGACCGCTCGCGCACATGCATACACGTTTCCTACTTTCTCTATTGGACCTGATTAGAGTGACAGGGGCACTTCCCATTGGCTGCCAGAGTGGCCCTCTCCTTCCCAGGGCAGCCAATTTCCCCTACTCCAGAGCTGATAGGAAACTTTGATTGTCCACTCAGCTCAGGAGAGACAAAGAGATTTTTCCTCTCGCAATCCACATATCACGCCATCACATCTCAGCCTTACAATATCCCTCCTCACTTGCTCTTTCCTCCTTTCCCCGCCATCTCTCCCCACCAAGATTTTTCTGCCCTTATTTCCATGAACCCTTACTCACTTTGTGTTGCGGGCTGAGGATTGTGAGTCCATTAAACTGGCGCTGACTGCTTTGATGGGCAGGAAGTTTCACTTAATGTGGTGACATCTGCATCCTGTGACACAGTCCTACCATACGCACATGATTTACTCTCATGGCTTACCACCATTACCCCCTCATAGCATTCCTAATATTACGTGAGGACAGGAAGGTGCTACCAAAAGGCGCTCACGCTCTGGTACGTCCAGTACACCGTGTGTTGATGTTGGGTGTGAAGTGAACAGAAAGAGGAGGGCGGTCAGAATGAGCGTGGAGTCTAAACATGTGGAGGGAACCAACAGGAAACATGGCTCCCTTTCTCTCTCCACTCTGTGCCGGCCCTCCCTGAGAACACTCTTCCTGTCAGAACTCCTCTAACTTCCTGCGCAGTCACCGGGAATCCCAGCTGGAACATTCCAGCTGTGCACTGGTCTCCCTCCCTCTCGGCAGCATTACAGTTTCTTTGTTGCCAGCTCTTCAGAGACATTCATGCAAATACAATAGAATCAAAAGAATTAACGGCCGCTTCACCTTTTGCACAATTCAATCTGTAGAATTTGAAACGGTTCTATAGCTTTAAATGGGGGGAAAAAAAATCTTGCATCAGTCTAAAATCAAGAAAAAAATGTCATAATTCATACTTTTGGAACATTTGTCAAACTAAATTAGAAACATAAAAAATATATCCTGATCCCTTTACAAGCTACAAGCTCTGAGGAACTGGATAAGGGACTCCGTTATTCCTGAATGCAGACCACACCCTCCCTTTATCCTTAGATTTTGGGGAGTGAGGGGCAGCTGCCATCTTGGCCTTCAACCAGTCGACTGGCCGTGCGTCTGTGACAAGAATATTAAATTCTTGTCCAGATTTTCCAGAAGCTAAGAAAGCTTGATGACACAGTAGGTACTCTTTGGACTCTCCAGGGTTCTTCTTGCAGTTGGCCGATAGGTCAAACTTTGACTGATCAATGGGGGCCATGGTCAGAGAGGAGAATCAAGCAGGCCAATGAAAACAGGCATGAACCAGGAGAGACCACAGGGAATGTTAAAAGTGAGACCGTCACCAGCAGAAGGAGTTAAATTAAAGTTGAAGCCACATCAAGCAGCAGGAATCTCGGCAGCAGGAAAGGGAAGACAAATCAGTGACACACAAAAAAGGATCTTGAGACTCAAAGTGCTTGAGACCATCAGACAAATAGTGCAGCTGAGACCATGCAGAGGGGCAAGGGACTTTTGAGATGTCCCAGTAAGAGTTCACAGAGAAACAGCACCTCAAAGACACATCCGTGCCAACACCATGGAGGTCAAACCGACTTCAAACTGTCCAAATCAAGGCATTCGAAGCCTCCCTGAGAACAGGATACTTAAAGCCCGGCTGTAAATGCAATATAAACCGGTCCTCTGAAGTGTCCT